ATATGGAGAAGATGGATTGTTTATATTCAAAAGAAACACAGAGTGGTAGAATATAATTTAGGTTTCTAGATTTTTTTAAGTTTGTTTACTCTTTCTATCCTTTCTTGTAGATTAAGATACTTTGTGGAGTTAGAGATATTAGTATTTGTTTACTTTTATATGAATATTATCCTGGGATTAGGTTTGGGAAGTCCGGGGGTGGGGGTGGGGGGTTTTTGATTGGTTATTGTGTTTACTTATGATTGTTTTTTATGATGGAAAAAATAAATAAAATTTCTTAAAAAAAAAAAAAAGCCTTTATTGACCACATTTATGGTTTCAAGATGCTTGAGAATTTGGAATGGTTCTCTTACAACTATGACATGCACGCAAAGATTATTACTTTTATCTGAATAAATATTCTGTGACCAACCCATTTTATATCTTTTATCTTTACAGTATTGGTTTGACAGGAAGGATTTATTTCCTCTACATTCTGTGAGAGGGCAAGTCAACAGGCGCGTACATTACAATGTTAAGACAGAAATTCTGTTGAAAGCAGAAAGGACCCTGTGAAGCAGGGGTCCTCAACCTTGGCCACTTTATAACTTGTGGACTTCAACTCCCAGAATTCCTCAGCCAGCCATGCTGGCTGAGGAATTCTGGGAGTTGAAGTCCACAAGTCATAAAGTGGCCAAGGTTGGGGACCCCTGCTGTGAAGGACCCTCATTTTCTTAAAGAGTATGAAGAAACCCCCTCCTTTCTACAGAAATGATTGGGATCAATGTGATCAAAATACACAGCCTTCTTCATGTTTATGCCCTAGGTAAGTAGAGGACATTGTATTTGCTCCCAATTTTCTCAAATAATTTCTCTCTTTCTTCTTCTCCATATTAATGTAGATCCAGTACGTAAGAGAAAAGGGTGTGCATTATCAAGCTGAAAAGATGCAAAACTTAATTATTCTGGGGAAAGATGGAAGTCGCATTCTGTCTGTGAATAACCAAAAAGCCCTACCATATTTTTGCCCTATGCTGCCACTTTTATGGGACTAAATGCACCAAAACTTTAGCAGCAACAAAAATAGGAAAGTTCAATTTATGTTATGTAATTGACTATACAATACTCACCCAAAGCCCCTTGGCAGATATCTGTCCTTGTTGCACCTCCAACAATAAACTGAGGGTCATCTACAATTTCCTGTCAAAAGATATATTATGAAGGGGGTTTCCTCACTGTTCTCATACAAACACAAGGGAAAACATGAAATACAATACACATGCAACGTGACTAAAAAAAATTAGGTAAATGGATTTCTGGGCAAGGCTAAAGTTACTCTCTATTTAGTCTTCTCTAGGTTCCTTTATTGTTTTTTTTTTCAATTTTTTATTAATTTTCAAATAAACAGACAAATTACAAATATGGTATACATTAATAAAAAACCCCATATTCAGAGGTGCTCAGCAGCCCACCCACCTGCGTCCACCCTCTCTTTCACCCTTCCTACCTACTTCCCTCCCTCTCTTCTCCTTCTACCTACACCTCTCTCCTCCTTTCTCCTCTCAACTATCCTACACATCCCACCTCCTTCTTTTCCTCATCCTTCGGACGTAGCTTAGGGGCACCAGCCGAGCATCTCATCTTCTTCAAATACATTATTTCACTATAACATTCTAATATACCAAAATTTAAATTTACATCTTTAATCCCCTCCTTCCCTTTATTGTTTTTGTTATCCAATAATGTCCAACCCTCTAAGATCCACTTATTCTTTTGTATGTTTACAAATGCATGTTCTCCTTTTCTTCTATTATGAGACTCAGCATAATGCCTTGTTTATCCAAACAGATCTATTGTCTTTTATAACCAGTAGAACTCACTATCCACTGAGATCCTCTAACCACCTTCCGTACATGGATTGTGTGACTTTGTGAGCATATTCCAAAGCTCTGTAAACACTCTCTGCCTTACAGGGAGTGATGATTCTATATTAATTTAAGATTCTGTGGTCCCACACTTGATGGACATCTACTCCACGGTAGATGGACACTATCAGGAGTTGTGCTAAAGTTTCTCTAAGGAGATTACTTCAAGCATAACCATGTTTTCAGGTGTGTTCTCTTTCCCAGTTTCCTTCCCAATTCATATGTACCAGGTTATCTGGAGAGGCCTATAGTAAAGAGTCCTCTCTTTACTATAATTTTATTTTTGGAACCAAACTGTTTTATATCCTGCGTCACTAATCATAACTTTGTCATGTATAGCCTTGTAACATTTTCCTATATTAGGAGCATAAATGGCTGTGTTTACCAAAATCTTGGACACAAGGACTATTTCTCCATCCTGTATTTGTAACCAAAAACTAGAGGCCTAAGAAAATTAATGTCCATGATAATGAGCCCAACAGTATTCCCCATTACTGAAACTGATGCAATTTCATGTCTAAATATTTACAGTATCTGATTGCCGTGCAACATGCAATTTCCTATGCATATCTAAATACAAATGAATGCTAATCCATGTGTTAGATTGTGTGAATGAATCTTTGCCCCACATATTCTCCCTAAGCTGCATTATAAGATTAATTTCATATTTTGTAATTCTCTAAGATAATTAAATAAGCCATTTTAAAGAAAAAAAATGACCATGCTCCATATTTAACAATTGTTTTTGTATCTGCTCAGGCAATTATATTGCTTCAGCAATGCTTAAATAGTCTGCATGACAGATGGGAGGATAAAGAAAGTCATAATAGAACTGAGGCTGGAAATAATGAACATGCATCTGATAGTTTAGTCACGCTATATACAAAGTTTACAAAATAAATTTCTGTTAAATTATAGACCTGGGACAGAACAATATATAAATTTGTAACAACGATGTTTTATGGCTTAACAGAATACAATATACTAACCAGGCCATCTAAGGAATATTTAACATTTCACAGTTGTTTGAGTCATGACTTAATACATGAATACAATTATTGAATGGTGTTGTAATCAGTCTTTAAGTTCAAATTGGAGTTGGCTCCTCTCCATGCTTCATAAACAGCACAGATCTTTTGAAATTAGGAACAGGAAATATTACCAATAAGGACACAGGTCAAGACTATAAAAATAACTAAAGTAAAGTCTTGATTTAATGGTTTATTCAAGAGATTGTTGTTAAATTTTTAACTCCTAAATGTCCTTTAAATCCAAACATATATCATTTACCGCAGTCTATCTTCAATGCTTGGTCCAAATTATTTTGGATGTAATGAACTTGTCTGTCAGTTTGAGAGGCTCTCCAGACAGAAATTCTATCTATTGCATATGAAGTCTACTAAAATGGGTCTATTAAAATAAGGTTTCGCCAAATGTATTAGAATTGGTTCAATAAGCCACAATGAAATCTACTATATTTGAATGCAGACCATAATGTCAAATCATCCCACGACTAAAGCTTTCTTCAGCACACAGATACTCACTGATGGGCGCTTCCAGCGCACCCCCTGGGTCTTGCCAGAATTAGGGCCCAGTTCCTTGAAGCCAAGGACTGAGGGAACAGCAGGAAATAGGGGGTCTTCAAATAATGTTCCATTCTCCAAACATTCTTGCTTCAGGGTATCATAATTTTGACCAAGGTGCTTCACAGAATTCTGGTGATTACCCACACCCTCAGCTCGCAGGCGGTCTCTTTCCAGCTTGGCAGCAATTCCTCCAAAAGAAATCATGATATACCCTGCTTGACAGGGGCAACAGGTGCCTTAGCAGTTCTCCTAGAAGCCAAAATAAGGACATGTGAGTTAGACCATAGATCAGAAATCAAATCTGCAGTTATGGAAAAGGGTATTCCTGGAGACTTCTGGCCAACAGGACAACAGAACTGGGAATTGTTAACCTTGTTTTGCCTAAGAAATCTAGAAAGATGGTATGCTGCCTTCAATTTAGGAACCAGTTATCTTGAACTCATTTCAGATTTTGATTCCTAACCAACAGTCCCTGCAAAGTCATCACCATTCTCTTTTCATCTAAGAACGACATCAAACCTGGATAAATTAATCCAGGAAACTCCAGTGGAAGAATGCTGTTGCTTGTGATTAACCCATGATAAAGGGTTAGGTAGAACTTTGTGAAAGTATTTCTTCAAAATATGACTAGCTTCACCTTTCTTTAAAGCCGGTATATATATATTAGGTATGACTTTGTGTGCTTTCTATGACCTGCAAGATAATTTCTGTTAGCAATTTAGCATCTTCAACTCTATTCTCTGGATAATCAGCAGTACTGATACTGAATGAGAAGATTCTGTCAGAAGGTTCCCTGCAAACTGTTCTGATTCAATGGAAGTTGCAACGCAAAACATGCAACGTGATATTCAAGGACAATAAATTTGAAATAGTCAACTGATGTCTCTGAAATCTGGTTTCTGGTAGCCCTATCAAACTTTGAGTATATTACATAGAGTATGTAGATTTTAATGTGTTGTAATTACAATGCAATGTCTGATGTAGTGGATAGGTGGGGTAGAAGTTAGGATGATTCACAAGGATAGAAAATTACTAAACACTACAGTAAGTGGTGTTGGTTTACACTTTTTGACTTTTTCTTCTGTCTTTCATATCTTTATTGCCTTTGGCTTCTTATTTCAAGGTTCTAAGGGATTTAAATCTGGATTTTACATGTGAGCTAACTGCTCTCTATTGGACTGTTGTCCTATAGTAATACAACAGGTAATTACCATTTATGGAGTTTACACATATCAGGCTAATCTGTATTGTGAGTACAGTGCTTGATTTGGCCGAGTTTGTTGTGAGAATCTAGGCAATTATGACTTTTAAAAAAACTGTTGCACAAATCACATTTGTTGCAATACTCCATAAGCTCAGTTTAGAGATATCCTGGCCAAATTCATGTTATTTAAATATTAAAAAGAACGTTGCTCTATTTCTGTGCAGCCTAAAGTTAGAGAAAGAAGAGAAACCATACCTCTGGCAGAAACCTCTGGCAGAATCAAACAATTTTTAATACATGATATCAACCTTTTGGCAGAGTATGAACCACGTTGCATTATTACTGAAAAATCTGAAACTTTAAAATACTATTTTGAAATAAGCAAGCAGGCTTTAATGAGTTATGTTCAGTGTTAGAGGAAATATATATTTGGAAAGGTGAGTGAGACCCCTCACTTCACTGAATTTGCTATCTTTTTTTGTTTTATTGATTTTATTATAATTTCTTTAGTTATTGTGAATCATTCAGAGTCATTAAAAGTCAGGTGGCCTATACATTTAATAAATCATCACCACTATACATAATTACTTTCCTTGTTTTGTGATGTGGGGTTCTCTTGCAGATTTTGAAGAGATTGCACTCTAGGGAAGGATGGGTAACATGTTACCTTCCAGATATGGATCGCAATGTCTATCATTCATTAGTCCTGAACATATTGGCTCAGGTTGATGGGTCTTGAGAATTAGCAGTTTCTGGAAAGAGAACTGGGATGTATAAATTTCTTTAAATGCAGAAACCCCGGGCCTCTTAACCTCTAAAAACCATAATTGGAATGGCAGCTATTTAAAATGGTAAACAGACTATTTGGGTTTAGCTTCCTCAGAAACAAATGTAAGCAAAGGATCTTCTAACAATGACATCTGCTCTTGAAGACTTTTTTCTCTTAAGACTTTTTTCCATTGCAAACCAAGGGTTGCTAACCACTATCTCTACTGCTCTTATTCTATAGAGCAGGGGTCCTCAACCTTGGCGGCTTTAAGACTTGTGGACTTTAACTCCCAGAATTCCTCAGCCAGCAGCTTTGCTGGCTGAGGAATTCTGGGAATTGAAGTCCACAAGTCTTAAAATGGCCAAGGTTGAGGACCCCTGCTATAGAGCATTGTTTCTCAATCTCAAAAACAACTCATTTCCTGGAATAAAATAAAAGAAGCATTAGAAGTGACTGGTGCAACCTAAGAATCTATTTCTACAGAATCTATTTCTACAGAACCTAAGAATCTATTTCTACATCCAACCTCTGTTTAAGTACCTCCAGCAAAGGGAAATCTCTCATCTCCTGAGACAGTCTATGCCAGGGGTGTCAAACTGCTGGCCGCGGGCTGAATGCGTCATGGCGAAACCGGGGCAATCTCATTGCCGGCAATGGAAAAAAAGCCACAATACATCGCGACACATCATGTGATGTTGCGAGTTTGACCTCCCAGGTCTATGCTGTTGTGGAACAGCTCTGACCATCAGGACTTTTCTTCTGACGTGCAAATGAACTCTACTTCCTTGTGATTTCTTGTCCAATCTTCTGAAAAACTCCAAATAATTTTGCCTTTGTCTTCTACAAGACAGATCTTAAGATTATGGAAGACAACTATCATGTTTATTTATAAGTTAAATTATTTATAGAATCTGTATGGCTGCCCACTTTAACCAAATCATTCTGAATGGGAAGTATGTGCATAAAATAAAAATGAATTAAAGTTTTGTAGAGTGACATGTAATTAAAAATAACACAAATGGAATTGTCTTTCAACATAGAATACACATCAGCTTCTACTAATATCTTGAATTCAGGGTTCAAGGGCAATCCCAAGTCTTTAAGGCCTTCCATAAAGCCAACAAAGTCAGGGCCATCTGGATCTTAGATGGGGAAGGCTAAGATCTATGTCCCACTACATGACATTATTTCACAGACAAGACCTGGAACATGCCAACCCTGCTAGATCTGGTAGGATGGGGAAGAATACCCAATATTGTGTTTAGCTTGGACAAGAGAGGTTGAATCTGTTGAATTCCATCCTGTTTGGTTTTGCTCAATGTTCCAGCAACTATTTCCAACTAACTCAGTCTTTCTTCTATCTGTGACTCACTAGTAGGGTGGGGTAAAATGGAATCCCCATTCATCAGCATCAAGGCAAGTACTTCCTGCTTTATATAGTTTCATTGTTTTATATGTAAGTTGACTGCAAACAGAAAGCAAAGTAAAGAATTATGATATGAACTGTATTAATCATACTTGTATTTTTTTCAAAAAAGAAAGACCTTGCTTTAGCTGCAAATTGATAGCATGGTAGAATTGTAACATGCAGCAGAAGATTGTATGATTGAGTCATCTCTCAGTGTGACTCACTGATCCACACCAGCAAATATGTCCTTAATGCTCAGACCTTTTTTTCCGAAGAGAAAAATCATAATCCCAATGTTCCCACAGCATGCCCTTAAACACACATCCAGAAGCTGCGATTTGTTGCTGTCCATACAGCTTCTCCATGTGCTACTGTAAGAACCCTGATTTGTGGTTTTCCTTGAGTAAAATTCAAATACTATAACTTGGGAAAACCACTACCAGTTTCAATACAAAGTATGTGCCAGGGTCATGCTTGTAAGTTCATTCTATCCAATCATTTCCCCTTTAATTTCTTCTTACAGAGAACTAGCAAACAATTGACCTGACACCTGATAGATGGTAGTGGAGAGTTTGTGTCCTTTAATTGCAGTGTAATGATTGCCTCCTTTGTGCAGCCCTGAGGCAGCCACTGCATAAGTGTTCCTGGAACCAGAGTTCAAGAAAGAGGTTATGATGGGTAGGATGCTTTTGCACATATCCACCTGATTTTTCCAAACTTTTTTACCGACCTGTCAAGCAATCAACTTATTGACTAGTAGGTGGCAGCAGTTAGACTGTTAGACTCATCTTTCTTGGCTACCATCCAGTAATGTGAGTTGTTTAGATTTAGGCAACCAAAATTTCGCCTCTGGATAAATGTGGAAGAACTGGACTTTGTCAAATTGCAGAACACAGCTCTGATCATTCAAATTGACAGGAGAGGAAAAAAAAAACAGCTGCATGTTGATGCTATATTTCTGCCAAGATACATTCTACAAGGGAGTGGATTTTTTTTTTAAAAAAGGACAATTTTATAAGTACAGGAAGTGAGGAGGACAGGCTTCCCAACACTACCAACATTATTGGGAAGGAATTCTTTGCTGCCCAGACCACAGAGTACAGTCCTTTTTATCACCTTTTCAATTATGTGCATTAAATTGGGGGTAGGCTTGTCGATTTGGATGAACAGCCCACAAATACAGGTACTCCTTCCTTACTGACCACTCATTCAGTGACCAGACTTACAATGACACTGAAAATACAGGGTTACAACTAGTCTTCAAAGTTGTGGCTGTCACAGCATTTCCACAGTCTTGTGATCATGATTTAGGTATTTGGCAACCAGGATGCTTTTACAATGTTTCTTGTATTCTGTGGTCAGGTGATTGCTATTTGTTATCTTCACAGCCAGTTTCCAACTAAGTCAGTGGGGAAGCTGGCAGGAAGTTGCAAACTATGGTCATGTGCTGTCACACTTAATGAACCCTGGTGATTTGCTTAACAATTGCAGAAGAACTGACTTGTAAGTTGGGTGCAATAATGTGATGTTTCAATTAATGACTGCATCACTTAGCAACAAAGTTCATGGTCCCAACTATAATCAGTGAGGATTATCTGTAACTAACTAACTAAGAAATGGCTGCAGAAGCCAGATTTCAGTCTCCCCTGCAGTTCAAATAAAGGAGTGGATTTTTATTTATTTTTTTTAAAATATGTTTTATTAATTTTTTTACATAATTACCTTAATATTTGGTAAACATTGTGTTGTCTGGGTTTATATTTTAAAAAAATCAATAACATTTAGTTTCTATAATTCTATAGTCCACATAATAGCTTTGCTTGATATTCTCCTTCCAAAAATATTCTCTTTTGCCAACCTTGAGTTAT